TGTGTGTGTGTAAAATCAGGTTCCATTATTATATATATCAAACCATAAATTAATGCACAAGGAGCAATAAACAGTCTTCACACAACCACTTGGTCAACTCTATATAGAGGTCCCTAAAGCATTGTCCGGCTCTAAGCCAATAAGACTGGAACCATAAATACATTTCGGTAGTTGCGTAGAAAGTAGTCTGTTAGCCGCAGGTGCAAACATTAATTTTGGACCTCAGCAGATAATTGCACTGGACACATATAACATTTCACTCCCTAAGAAACCGGGCTCTGAACAGATGCGTACATCATCATCACATTCATTCACTTCCAATGACATGTCTCAGTTACGTACAGCATTCACACAATATAACTCGTACACTCGCACAGACTAGCAACACAACAGCAACAACAGTTACAACACACATAGGCTCTACACGCACAGAATGCTATATTTATCTGACTATATGTCAGTCTGTTGCCTAAGAACTTAATCAGAACACCCACCGGCTTCACATACTGTATACGCTTGTATATTTCGCGGTGGTTTGAATTTCGCTAATGCGTTCCCGACCGCGAAAATAACAACACGCGAATAATTCATACCGAATAATACCGAATAATTCATAATTAACCACTCACGAAATTGTCCATCAAGTCTGAATTCGCGAAAATATCTGTACGCGAAAAATATGGCGTACACAGTAATCTAGAGGCCACCTCTACAGAGAAACTCTATGAAGCTCTTACATAGAGAATGGCTCCACATACTGTATACGCCATATTTTTCGCGTACAGATATTTTTGCGAGTGGTTTATTTCGCGGTCGGTGAATTATGAATTATGAATGAAGGTATTACTCGATATGAACTATTCACGTGTTGTTATTTTCGCGGTCGGGGACGCGTTCGCGAAATTCGCGAAAATTAAACCACCGTGAAATATACAGCATATACAGTAATATAATTCTAGTTGAGTGCACAGTGAGTGACATCTATTGGCACAATAATGAACATGCAGCTTCATGCAATACGTCTAAAGCTCACAAACAACCTATCTACATCTGTTAACATGTCCAAATCTACCTAGAGGCTACACCTCATGATACGTTAAGTACGGTAACGTTCACAGTAAACGCATACCCGAAGCATCACTGGGCAGCCTGGGCTACCACGTATCTATCCATCAACATATCCTTTGTGCATATTAAAGCCGCACTATGCGCATCCAAACGCTAATTTCTCCAGTACTAGACTAGCAAATACTTCGTGTCATGCATAATCACACTACCTTATGGCAAAATAAACTCTAGTTGCTCCCATTTCACTGCGCGTTTGCTTAAAACCCACAAGAAAGAGGTGAGAAATCTGGTAATCTGGCGCCAATGCCGACTTGTTTGCCAAACAATTTAGCCTCGAAGCGGTTAGGTGACGTCACAAGTTTTTATCTTTGCTACACCCGTACCGCTGTACCGCAGCACCGCTGCACGGTTGCTTGGGAGAGCAACGCGAAACTGTCAACAACATCGGAGAATTTGAACAACATTGGAGGTATTTTCAAATGCCTTTTATAAGACAACGCGCAGTGAAATGAGAGGAACTAGAGTTTATTTTGTCATAAGGTAGTATGATTCTGCATGACACGAAGTATTTGCTAGTCTAGTACTGGAGAAATTAGCATGTAGGCGTATACGTGCGGCGCTAAAAAACCCGAGGAATTCGCCCCGACCGCGCTCGTGAAACGACGAAGGGGACACCATCGCAATCACCAAACCTTACCGCGCCACCGTCGTCGCTGGCGCGTACACGTGGCGCCACCTATACGGCAAAGGGGACACCATCGCAATCACCTAACCTTACCGCGCCGCCGACGTCGCTGGCGCGTGCACGTGGCGCCACCTATACGGCGAAGTGGACGCCATCGCAATCACCGAACTTTACCGTGCCACCGACGTCGCTGGCGCGTGCACGTGGCGCCACCTATACAGCGAAGGAGACGCCATCGCAATCACCGAACTTTACCGCGCACTCACTGGCGGGTGCACGTGGGGCCACCTACACGGCGAAGGTGGCGGCAGGCAGCAGCTTCTTCAGGAGCGCGATGTACATGGCTTCTTCGTTGTCCGTCGTGTGTCGGTCGGCGATCAGTCGCCGCGCGTTCTCGCAGACTTTCTCGCGCAGCCCGGCCGCAGTGTTCAGCTCTGTCAGCCTCAGCAGGAAATCCTGTAAGCGTACTTCGA